ACGGAGACGGACAATCACTCATATGATAAGCTCCGCTCGACAAAGTCGACAGCGGAGCTAAAAATTGGAGCCTCATACCTACATTCGGATTTTAATCAGATTGGTAGTGATTCCTACTTATGGAAGTTCAACATGTCACTTTATACCAGCTGAATATAATGGAATGAACACATTGGAAGACGAGTGCACAACTACCGGTAGCATAGCATAAAGCCCATAGAAAATATAAGATAAGATAACTTTATTGACATTATTCTTTCTATAGAAGATGAACATAGTCAAGTGAAATAAAAAAAAAGTAAAGAGGATAATCAAAAAACTCAGTTAAAAAAAAAAAAATTAAAATAACAGATTAATTAAAAAGCAATTAAAAGGTAGTACAGAATCAGGTGTTTTATTAATACACACCTGTTTGCATTATCAACACACCAAGCTTAATGTGGCAGTTCGTCATAATGTAAATAAATTTATCGGAATGATCCATTAAAAAGTTTCTGCCTCATTTCATTGTGCTGTGGGCAGTCCATAATGTAACGGTACTCATCCTTAACTGAGTTATTGTCACATCTTGTACAGATTCTGTGTTCCAGTTTTTTTTTTTAGTCTATCATAATCTGATGGTCACTAATTCTTAATTTACAAATATATTTTCTATATTTTGAATTATTCACATCCATCAAATACTTTTCCATTTTGAAGTTTGTTTTAAACTTCCTGTAGGTGTGAAGTTTGTTGAGCTCCCCTGAATCCGATTTTTCTAAATTGATGTCACTCTTCCACTTTTTTGAATAATCATCTTCTATTTTTTTCCAAAACTCCCTTCACACTTTTACCATCCCCCTTCCAGTAATCATGTATATTATCAACACCAGTTATTTGACTGATTGTTGTTGCCCACTTTGTTTTGTTGTCGATATTGTAGGACATTGCCTCGTGAATTAAAGTGTTTTCTTTCACAGTGCATGATCTATGCCAGTATTTTATCATCATTTTATTAAATACTGACAGTGGATGTCTACCCAGTTCTCTTACAGACAAATTTGTTGCAGACTGGTTAACTTGGAGGAGTAGTTTGTACAATTTTATGTTAATTTTTTCGATGACTGTTTTGTCTGTATACTTTTCTATCCCCCAAACCTCACAGCCATATATTAATATAGGCCTAATAACATGATCAAAGACATTCAGCCAAGTTTTTATATTAATTTTGGTAGACCCACTAAGAGATTTTTTAATAAAGAAAAAATGCTTTGACTGCCTTTTTATATAATTTTTTTTTTGCCAAATCAAACTTTTCATTTGGCTTAAACTCCATACCTAAATATTTATAACTACTGACAATATCAATTTCTATATTATTATAATAAAAATTGTATTTATGATTGAGCAACCTGCCATTTTTGTTAAAGATGATTACTTTGATTTTGGAAGTGTTTACTTCCAAATTCCAATAAGTGCAATAGGAATGTAGCTATATGAATATATGAATGTGGACAAATATTAATTATTTAATAAATGATAGAAATATTTCAGTTTATTTAGTTTTTTTACACTCTCAAAGTAGTGGTGGTGGTGATACATTTATATTGTCAACGCTAACAGTTTAGTGTACACACACAGGGAGTTGGACAAACTTATGTACTCTAATAAATTATTAAATAATAAATTGTTGTATAACTTTTCTTTTACCCCTCCTGGTTTCTCCCCCC